AATTACTCTTAGCTGGTAATCGCATTGGCTCCCATACCTCAAACGAGCAAACGAGCATTAGGAACATCTTCCCATCACAAGTATGGGTAATGTTTTCGATGCCGATGGGACGTTCCTGAGTCAGATTTCCTACTTACAACAACTCTACCCACATAACATCGCAATCACAAAAGGAGAACATCTTCCGGAGTCCTTTTTCCTACATGTATGCCCTAATTCATCGGCTGTTGCTACTCGAGTTTAACCAACCCTACGTTTATATATAGCGTCAAATGTGTAAATTACCTTGCTTAGTTAGGGTTAGAGTACCGTCGATGAAAAAGTGGAGGAGCGGTGGTGGCGGCTAGCCACCGGCTCGGCACGCAATCGTTTCTGTTTCCTTACCTCACAGAGTCCTGCTGTACTGCCTCCAACAAAATCATATACCCTGCCGTCGATTTCAGCAGTAGTGGCGCATAGGAGGAGCTAACCTTTCCTCATCTGCAAATCTGATTAGCTCCTATAACGGCAGATTGTAGAAATCGATCACGAGGTTATCGTCTTTATTCTTCGTCATTGTGTTCGAGTCTGTGATGTTTTATTTTGCTTACCTTTGATTGGGTAAGACTTTTTGGTTTTATAGTAAAGTTTGGGCTTGTTTCGTGACAGTGCTTCTGGTTAGCTCCCCTTTCTCTCTCTCTCTCTCGGTTAAAGCTCAAAAAATATTGGTCAAAGCTTTTAGAACTAGCTGTTACTATGCCTTCAATTTTTCACTTCTAAAGTCAATGCCTGTTAAGTCTATGTCTCCTAATCCCTCATCATAATGCGTTATGCTATTTGATGGGTGTAGAAATGGTCTGTCTATCTGTCAAGCTTGGTTTTTGAATTTCCGTAAGATGAGGGAAAATAACGCTCTACTGGGAGTGTAGGATTCGTGTCATAGAGGATGTGGTGGCTAGGAACGTATCAATGACATCAGTTATTTCTTATGCCCCACTACCACCACTCATTGATCCCAACTCAAGCAGGGTCTCGGTGCCTTCATAATCCCAGATAAACTTTCTTGGTTTTTATCTGATTCATGGGAGGCCTACATTAACGCTGGAAGTTTCGCTGATAACACCTCTTGAATTCTAGGAGGTGTTTTACTAGTAGCTTGCCACACATGTAGGATTATTTTTCCCTGCTTGTTTTCCTCTGTTTTTCTTTGCGGTGGAAGGGGTGCTTTTGTTCAGTACCTAGACAGAACATATTGTGCACACAATCACTTAAACTTTTTAATTAATATAAAGGGTAGACTTTTGTTTTCCCACTTGTAAACCGTTGGTCTATTTTAACTTTTAAGTTTTAGATTCCTCAAAGTAATAATGTAATACTTCCTTATTATTTCTTAAACTTTGATGGTTAAAATGCCCATTCTCTCCTATTTCTATGGATGGCCAGCTGCCCCTGGTTTTTGAGTACAACTAAAGGGGGGGGGGGGGGGGAATACATGTATAATTGAATACAGACAATGAGACAATGTGGTGTAGATCTAATAGGTTGATCAATTACTGATGTGAGTTTGAGCCTTGTCCATGGTAGCATCTATGGACTTTTATTTATGAAGCCATAGTTTATGACTCTTCATTTTTACTGAAAATTAAATGTTTGCGATCTGTTGTTTCTCTCACACACTATCTCTTCCGGTATGCAATTCTAACAAGTCTTGTGCCTTCATAATCCCAGGTAAACTTGCATTTGTGTTTATCTGATTCATGGGAGGCCAAAATTTAAAAAGGAAGTTTCGCTGATAACACCTTTTTGAACTCATGAAGGTGTTTTACTATTTGCTTTCCATACACATCGTAGAAGACTATTCATATCCTATTATCTTTATAGTTATTTTGTTTATTTTTGCAAATTGATAAATGCATCATAGTATGCACCTAAGATTATCATGTACAACCAGTCTATACTTTGGTTCTCTGCTTTCATGGTTTTCTTTGTGAAAAAAGCAATTTATCACTTCTTGGCAATTTAATACCTTCCATCTTGTTTGATATTTTGGTTGGCTGTAACTTATTTGCTTAGTTCATCAGATAGTATATATTAGTTCAGTTGTTAAAAAGTTAGTGCTGGTCCTGTAGCTCAGTTGGTTAGAGCATTGGTCTTATGAGCCAAAGGTCGCGAGTTCGAGCCTCGCCAGGACCATTACTGCAGTTCATCCATGATGTTGCTTATTTCAGATTCATCAACCTTTGTTGCAACGGGCATTTGATGAAAAAAGATTTGGCCTGACCTCTTGACCACCCAACACGTGACAGAAGCAACAGCTCGGCACGGTAATACGTTCGAAGCGCGAGTTCCGAGAAGAGGAACCAGCAGTCCGATCTCCCCAAAAGGAGAGCTCGAACTCCCCCTTTGACCCCGAGCCTTACAAGGAGCGCAAGGGGCAAAAACCCGAACTGGCCCGCCCTAGGGCAATTCGGGCCACACCTCTACCCAAATTCAAGATTTCAACTCGCACACCACTCCAGCACTTTGGCTCCAGGATGCCGAACTGAACAACCGTACTTGACACCAAAGGAATCCGTAACCTGAGGCGGCGCACTTGGCTGATTTGGGATCTGACGCTTGACAGCCGCATTTCAACGGCCACTTGCCACTGCCACCCCCAGTCACAGAGACGGCTCCGACAAAGAGAGGAGTGGCGGTTGTCTGCCCCAACAGAGGTGATGACACCCGAACTGGCAGAAGTGCAGAGGTAATGATGCCTGACCTGACAGGTGCTTGGGAGTGAGTGTGCGAAGTGGTTATAAAAGGCTCTCTTCCCCCCAAAAAGGAGGAATGTGAACTTTGCGCCATCTGGTTTATTATCTTGCCTTTGAGGATACTAACTTGAGTTTCGGAGCACTCTCACCGGATCCTTCCCCGGAGATAACTCGTTTTCTTCCCCGTTTCAGGCTCCTTCTGCTCCAGCCAGAGACAAGATCGTTGACAGCTAGGACCAGCCGGATTACGCACCATCATATAGTCTTAACTTCCGTTTTACAAGAAGTCTCTTTAACCATTTAACCATCTGGTGTCTAGTGATATTTCATAAATGGAGCCTAATCCTATCAAGTGGACCCTCCAAATCAAAAGCACGGAATTGGTATTTTCTGGTTTGATTTCTTGAAGATGCACATTTTATGTTTATTCTGATTCCATTGTTGGGATTCTACAGCCCTGCGATTGAAAACACTGCAATGTCAGTTGTGTGGCCTTTAACGTGTTCTAATTTACCTTTTGAAAGCAACTTGAGTACTAAAGTAAAATCAACCATGCAAATTTAATTTTGAAGATGTTCACTGGAAATGAACCCGTTTTGGGTCCTTTACAGCATTAGAGATTACAGAGCAAAGTTTTCAATTTTTCACCCCATGTAATTCTGCCTCAATTGCTATGGAAATGACTGTATTTAAAACCCCAAAACAAGCTATGTAAAGAGGCCCGATTCACCAGAATTCTCTCAACTCTGCCGCAGATATTCTCAACTACAACTGCAACTGGCATGTATTGATTCTGAAAGGTTCTATCACTCCACTCTTTGCATACTGATCAGTATATTGCTCCGGGGACCATTCTCCGAATGACTTAAACCCCTCAGTTCCTCTACTCTATAACCGTAGGTTCAGCCCAAGAGGTACCAGACATATTTAACGCATGAAACCAAACTGCCTGTGAGAACCGCAAAGGAGAAGAGTATGCTGTACACTTGACAAAAAAGAAGAGTATGCTACACATTTATCAACAAACAAGAAGTTCATTTTGGCTCATAAGACCTTTTAACATCCAATGAGATGATCCCCCATCATCATCAAAGGGTTGTTTGCAAGTCTGTCCTCGCACTGTTAACAGCCTCTCCTAACCTTGCATTGGAAATATCTCTCCATGAAATAGGACAAAGTACAGACATTCTTAATGCAAGACTGTAAAGGTTGTTTGAATGGGCATTGCACCGACCAAGCTGAATTCAGGTTATTCACATCAAATTAAGAGGGAAATTTAACCGTGAAAAAAGAAGCAGAAACAAGTCCACTGTGAAGGTAGAGCAGAAATGAAGTTTGCATTGGGCTCCAACTTTGCCGGACACTGTTTTTTGTTTATTGATAAGTTTATATGATCTGAAATGAACCACCAACACTCATAGGCATATGAACCAAGTGAATTTACAAACAAAAGATTAGGTTCATTCAACACCCAAATCGTTGCTTTTTGAACACAACATCCCTCAATTCTGCACTCCCAAAGAAAAGGAAGAAAAATTATCATTCTATATCAGTGTTTCTCGAAGAGTTTGTTTTTTCTGAAGGATATTGACAAGAATAGGGTAAATTATCTGAAAATAAAATGTAGGGTCGATTGTGAATAAACTTGATGGTAAAACTGGAAAGGCATTTAGGTTATGTTTGGTTTAAAATAAAAGAACAGGAAAATCTATACAAGGTTTGTGAAGGTTTCCTTATATTTTCCTTCCTTTTCTTGCAATTTCCTTGAAACCAAATATAGCTTTAAGTCACTTCTCAAGAGAAGCCCTTTTATCATCTACCATTTTGCTCTTCGGAAGGTTGAATGTCCAAATTTGATAATTTTGTCATTAGAAATGTTGAATATCTAATTATCTATTATATACAATAACAAGGTTTACCTTAGAAAATGATGCATTAACTAGTTATGTGATACATGCAACCGAAGAGAAAGATTCCTAAGACAAAAATGAATGGAATACAATAGATTTTTCATGTTATGGTTTAGATGTGAAGTCACGTTATTCATCCACCATAAAATGATGATAGTAAACTTGTCATAAATGTCCTATCGTTGTAGTATAGTGGTGAGTATTCCCGCCTGTCACGCGGGTGACCCGGGTTCGATCCCCGGCAACGGCGCTTTCTTTTATTTTTTATTTTATTTCTGCAAGGATTTACGAAATACGATTGCCTTGTTATTTCTTCATTCATATTATCATATAGAAATGAATGTGAGTAATCGGAAAAATGGAACAAAGAGCCACCGCACAGTGCCTTTCTCTGCTTCCGAAACTAAGCAGCTTGAAAGAAGTGAAACAAATCCATGCCCACATGATCAAAACTGCATTGGATCAATTCCCATATGAAGTCAGCAAAGTTGTAGAATTCACTTCTCTTTCTGTTACACCTCAAAGCTTTGCTTACGCGCGCGAGCTGTTTTATCGGATCCAAAATCCCAACCTGTTCCTCTACAATACCATGATCAGGGGTTGCTTAATAAACAAAAGATCAGAAGAAGCCACCTTCCTGTACATTCGAATGCGGGGTGAGAATCTCCTCCCCAATAACTTCACATTTCCCTTTGTTCTTCGTGCCTTCGAGGACAAATTGGACCTCAAAGGCGGGAAGGAGGTTCACGGGTGCATTCTAAGAACTGGGCTTGGGTCGGATCTCTATGTTCTGACCACACTCTTGAACATGTACTCTGTGTGTGGAGGTAGCATGAAAGCCACAACCAAGGTCTTTGAGGAAATGCCCCTGAAGGATGTGGTGTCTTGGAATTGCATGGTTTCTGGGCATGTCAGACATGGAAGCTTGGAGTTGGCGAGAACATATTTTGATCATGCCCCTGCAAGGAGCCTTGTCTCTTGGAATTCGATACTCTCTGGGTACGCCAACTCTGGGAGGATTGAAGAAGCAGAGAGATTGTTCATGGAGATGCCAAAGAAGGATACAGCGTCCTGGAATTCACTGATCAGCGGGTACCTTAGGATTGGTGACCTTAACTCTGCAGAAAGGCTCTTTGATCGAATGCCGGCGAGGGATGTCGTTTCTTGGACAGCCATGATCGACGGGTATGTGAAAAATGGTCACTATGATCGTTCTTTGGCTCTATTTCATCAGATGCAGCTGGCTGAAATCGAACCCAGTGAGGTGACCCTTCTTAGTGTGCTCACTTCTTGCGCTAGCTTGGGTGCACTAGAACTAGGAAAATGGGTTCATGCTTATATAAAAAAGATTGGCTTTTCAATTGAGACCAATCTTGGTACTGCACTTATAGATATGTATGCTAAGTGTGGAAATATGGAGAAAGGTTTGGAGGTCTTTTTCAACCTGGGGACAAAGAAAGATGTGATTACATGGACAGCAGTGATATCTGGACTAGCCATTAACGGAAAATGTAGAGAAGCCCTAGAGTTCTTCAATCGCATGGTGACTGAAGGTATAAAGCCTGACCGAGTAACGTTTCTTGGGGTTCTATGTGCATGTGCTCATGCAGGATTTGTTAAGGATGGGTTTCATTACTTCGATTCCATGAATAAAGATTACCTTCTGGTGCCCAGAATGGAGCACTATGGTTGTATGGTTGACCTCCTTGGACGGGCTGGTTTACTTGAAGAGGCTATGGAGTTTGTTAAAGCCATGCCATTTGAACCCGATCCTGTTATTTGGGGATCCCTCTTTGGTGCCTGTCAAATGCACAAGAATTTGGAATTGGGGGAGCAAGTGATGGAACGCCTTTCAAAAATGGATCCCTGGAATAAAGGAAATCTTGTGACCTTATCTAACATCTATGCTGCCACTAGTAGATGGGATGATGTTGCTAAAACAAGGAAGAAGATGAAAGAGAAAGGGACGAGAAGAACACCTGGATGCAGCTCCATTGAAGTCAATTTCCACGTTCATGAGTTTGTTTCCGGAGACAGCTCGCACTTGAGATCCAAGGAAACCTATGAAATGCTGGATTTGTTGGCAGGGAGAATGAAGGTTGCGGGTTGTTTACCAAACGATGTGCTTCTCCTAGAGGATTAGAGCGAGAAGGAACGTATAAGTAAACTGACTTCTCGGAGGAAACCAGCAGCAAAATGACAATACGCTAAGGGAGCTAAATTCCATGTAATTGGGCTTCTTGTCACATCAGGAGAGTACCCAACTTTCTGCAACGACAAGAAGCTCATCATGGTTCATGGGAAAGGCCAGAGTCACCAGAACTAATGAACACATCAATATAACTTGTGTTGACAGCGAACCTGTTATGGGACAAATGGAATTATGGAAATGAAAGGATTGAAGCTCCTGTAAACCCAATGCTCCAAACCTTACAGAAAACCCAATAACATGTCAATAGCTGTCCCAACCTTGTGTGACTACCCCTTCTCCTTCGTGCAACCATTCGCGTGATCATTAGCAGGAGAGCTGTCTGACCTTCAAAAAGACCCTCAGTTTTTTCCCATTATTGCTGATTACGACATGCTGAAATCAGGCATTTATAGGTATCAAACTTGGGATCCAATCCCATCTTTTTTTATTTTTGAAACAGAGACAGACCTTCTTTGGCTGTAGAAATTGCTTATGAAGCCCAACCAACTAGAGGATTGATCAAATCTAGCTCCAAGTGCACAGGGACGCATTCAATAATTACAAATGTAAGCAAGCTGATGACAATATCGAAATGAAGCAGCTTGGTCAATTCCCAAGCATGAATGATAACTGCTTTAGTCTAGCTATTAATTGAACCGAAGTAACTGGCAAGCAAAAGGGGAAAAAGTGTTACCTAGTATTTTACAAGTAAAAACAGGCATTGGAGACCAAAGTGAATGCTCCAGCCATTTGAGATTGGTTGTAGATAATGATCAACTGGATGTGATAGAAATTAGCAAATTCAAAACCCAGGAACCGCTTACCAAATTTTCCTCAGCCCTTTCCATCACCCCCACCAGTCAAGTGGGTTCCCCACCTTACCGCATGGCCTGAACTAGGGTTTGTTGCGTTACTGCATTTTTAGATAATCTCCTTAGGTCTACAACCGTGGATCTATACTTATCAGCCTTACTTGGATTGATTCCCATCAGAAAATGGTGATGGCTTTTGTCTTGATCCAAGATATGGACTGAAAAAAGTGTAGAAAGGCTTAGTGAGAATTTGGAAATATAGACATTTTTTGAAGCAAAAGGAAATAGACATTGTATTAAAATCTAAGATAGATGATACCTACATGCTCTTCATATAAATTTTTCTTATTGACCAACTTTATATATTTTTTTGCATTTAGTAATGGGTCTTGATAGTGCGCGATCCGGTCGATCCTAGCTGCCGGTTACCTCGCCTCTGACGGAATTGGAGGTGCTTGAAACAAGGAAGAAAACGAAGGCTTCCGGGGAGGAACCCGATTGGAACACTCCGAAACTCAAGTTAGTGCTCTTGAGAAGGCAAGGGAAATGAAGAACTTCAAGACCAGAAAGCGCAAGAATCACATACCTCCTTCCTTGGGAGATGGGGGTCTTTTATAATCACCATGTACACTTACTTCCATATACCTCTGCTAATTCGGGCATCATTACCTCCGCCAGATCGGGTGTCATAACCTCCACTGCCAGTTGCTAGTTCGGGTGTCATAACCTCCACTATTCCTTGCCAGGGCCGTCTCTGCCACGTTTGAGATGGCGGTGGCAGGTGGCCGTTGGCGGGCGGTTATCATGTGTCGGACCCCTAATCAATCAGGTGCGCCGCCTCCGTGTACGAGCTTCCTACGCGTCAGGTACGGTTGTTCAGTCAGGCGAAGCCGAAGTGGTGTGTGAGGTGGTCTTGAGTTCGGATAGAAGTGTGGACCGAACTGCCTACCCAGGGGCAGTTCGGGTTTTTTGCCTTTTGTGCTCCTTGTAAGGCTCAGGACCTCAAAGGGAGAGCTCGGGTTCCTCCATGGGGAGCTCAGGACTCTTTAGCTTAGAGCTCAGGTTGTAGGTTCCTCCTTTGGGAGAGCTTGGGACTCTTTTTCTCGGAGCTTGGGTTGTGGGCCTGCTGCCGTGCCGAGCCAGTGCTTTTGCCAGGTCACTCTCGGTTGCTTCCACGTGTTGCATGGCCAAGGGGTCGGGTCAAATCTCCCTCCATCAGGTCTTACCATGGTTAAAAAAATTGGCCCGTATCGGCCGGTATGTATCATATCAGAAGCTTTATGATACGCCCCTACAGATGGTGTAATGGGGTTTTGACCGGTTCAGGGGGTGAAAGACGTTAAACCGGCCCCTCTGAACCAGTTTTGAAAAAGAACTAAAAAAACAATACTGCATGATATGCCTCTACCGACATATCGGGCATATCAATATTTTGAACCTTGGGCCCTACGGTAAAATTAACTTCACTTCTCCAATAAAACTTATCCATCTCTCATGTGGATAAATAACTTTCCCATGTTAGAAAAATTTTATAAAATACAATGAGACAACTTTTCCCATTTTAATATTAGCTTTTTTGTGTAAAAATGTCATTGAACATGAGTAAGTGAAATTGCCCATTAATTGGGAAAGAGCACTTACCAAGATAAGTTATAAAGTTATAAACCACCAGGCCTAAAGTTTTGTTTCAAACGGGTAACTTATAAGCTCAATTTAGAAAGAACACAAATGCAAATATGTGCAGTACAAATACATATAAAATAATATAAAATACAATGTTTTGCACTCTATATTTGTATTTGTACTCATTCCAAACTGAGGTGTAGTTTCCATTTTTTTTCTCCAAAAAAGTATGTATGTAATTTGAGACATTAGACAATTATCAAAACTGAGGTGTAGTTTCCATTTGCTGTGACCATGATTGCAACACTCCCTTTGAATCCCTTGTAGGGGTATTCACGGGTCGGGTTGGGTCGCTTTGAGTCATTTTCTTCAACCGATCCGACCTAGTCAGTTTATTTATTGACTAAACCGAAACCAATCGATCTTGAAGCAAAACTGACCCAAACATGAAGGGTCGGTTTATTTAACCTCTCTTTTTTTTCTCTATTCGAAACTAAGAGGGTGTTCTTTTTTGGATTTGGAGAGGGGGGAAGTTGGTTAATAGGATCTTGGTTCCCATTGACCAAGAATTTCATGTTCTTTTTTCAGTTTTATGTGGGGACCAAGGAAAGTTTATTTTCCTAGGTATCACTTACGCAGAAAGTGATACCCATCACCTAGGTGGGTAAATAACTTTCCCACATAGGGGGAAAGTTGACAACACTTGAATGGGACAAAAATGCCCCTTTTAATAATGGATTTCTATGGCTAAAATGGTCATTGCCTTATTTACCTAAGAAATAAAAGAACATGGGTAAATGCACTTACCTAGGGAAAAACTTACCTAGGTAATTGCATTTACACGGATAAATAACTTACCGAAAAGAGAACGAGGCCTATAGAGTAAATACTCCATCTCTCCATTCCAATTTCCAAGAGTCCTTAAATGCAATGCTTGCTAACCTCTTTTTTTTCTCTTTCCAAAATTGAAGAATGAAGAATCCAACATGTATGTCCATTCAAATTTCCAAGACTCCTTTACATCAATGCTTGCTAAACCCAGAAAGGTAATAAATAACTTTACTTAAGTTTAAAGTTAACTATGATAGGGAATAGCGTTGAATAGGGATTACTTAGTAATTACTTAAAACATATAGGGTCGGTTTTGGTTTTGGTTTTCATGTATAAAAACCGAAAACTGAACTGAGTTGTAGTTTATTTCTCACACAAACTGGAACCGACTGGTGGCTTTGAAAAACCAATCAACTCGGGTTGGGTCAGGTCGGTTTAGTCGATTTAACATATAATGTGAACACCCCTAATCCCTTGAACTCGTCAGCATTTTGAAGAAGTTAAAAGATACCACGTCAACTGTTTTTGTCTTTTTTAGGCAGATGTGTAGTTAATGCCAAAAAAATAAAAAAAAAAAAGATAAAAAATTAATATTTACAACCAAAAAGTAAAAAAAAATCATAGAAAATACATTGAATGATAAAAAATCCAAAAATATATTTCAACCAAAAATAAGAAAATGGAAAATTCTTGAGAAAATGATTAAATGCAAAAATTAGAGCATTGTAGAAAATTATAAAAAGTGCAAATTGGAAAAAATTACAAAAAATACATACATTTTGTAGAAAAATGTAGAAAATGCAAAATTGGGAGGTTGCCTTTTGAACGTGTAAGGTGAAAACCCATTGTTGTAAGACATTATGTAGAAAATTTTGGAGCTTGAATCTTTGATCTCCCACATAAATTTGTAGTTCATTACCAATATATAAAAATACCAGATTACAGCTTAGTTGATCTTATGACTCGTAGGATGTCTCATGGTGTTGGCTCCACCATTAAATTGGGGTATATCAACATTTATACAGAGAAAGATTAAAATCCAAGAAAATTTATTAAAAATAGAAGATATAATTAATTTGTAAGATAACTAGATAATTAGATAAGAATCGAAATCTCATCATTCATATCGTGGTTCTTGTCATTAAATTAATTCAGAGAACTGAAACTTGGGAAGAAGATGAAGAGGAGTATTTTCGCTTTTTTGGTTCTTCTCCGACTTGAAGAACATGTGTCAAACGATACAATGACAATGACCACGCAATAGTTGTGGATCTGGAAATTAATTTAGATCTTGAATCTATTATCAAGGCCATTAAAAGCTTTTCAAAGTAGCGGAGGAAGTGAACCTGTCACTCTCGTTAGATCCAAGAGAAGCATCTAGAGATTGCAGATTTGCAACTAGATTAGCTATTTGCAACTTGAAGATCTACAACTTGATCTGTAACTCGTTAGCCGAAGTCAACGGCGGACGCCCATTGCGAATATAAATGCATGGTTGGAGACATCTCTACTTACCAGAGAAGGGATGGAGACGGAGAGATGGAGGGAGAGGAGTGGAGTGAGAGAGGGTGGAGGTGGAGCGGGGAGGGAGAGGGTTCTGTTCGATTTTCTGATTTTCAAACCCTAAGGCCTAAACAAGAAGTATGGTAACCACGCTAACTCACCCTGATCCAACCCGTTTTCACT